TAGAAACGCGTTTAGCTTGCAAAGCACATTACTATTTACATTTGTCTCTATTTTCAGATAGATCTACGAAATCAGACATTCTTTTATCTTTTATTACGTAAGAAATAAAAGCAATATTTATTTTGTTAATTATTCACTTTTTAAAGAATACAATATGGAAAAAGATCACGGTTCAGTATTCAAGTTGATTCTTATTATTTGAGTCTTAAGTATAATCTAACTAATTATATGTATAATTAAAATAAAATCATAACTAAGATAAAAATAAATTCATAGTAAACTAATTATAACAAAGCATTAATGTTTTAACATTACTTGTAAATACTAGTCAAGAATTTGATACAAGTGAGCGAAGCGCGCGCGCCGGCCCTGAGCGCCACTTACACCAGAACGCCTATTGGTTTACTTCAACCTGCTCTCCTTCAAAAACTACTTATCGCACGCAATTTTGCTAAAGGAAAAAGTTATTTCTTTTAGCCTAAAGTATCACGCCTTGTACTCCGTGGGCGCGAATTTAGGGACACCCTGTATATAGGAGTTCCATTAGTACTTTTACTCCACACAAATCGGACCTGCGCAGCACTCTGGGTAAGGCTTGCTGAAATCCAATTTTTTTCCAACCGATTTGCTTTCCTTCTGCACATTGGAATAAAGGACATCTGGAAAGAAACATAATTATAATTGAATATTGTCGAAATTCAACGGGATCAGAAAATAAATAAAGTAAGATTAAAAAGGATAATTAATTTTGACAGGAAACTTTATTTATTATTGAATAAATAGAATTATCATTAGTGTTATTATATCTATTGCAACATGCAAGAGAATGATGTGAAATTTGTAAATGTTAAGTAATATACAAGATATCTTTCTTTTCAGACAGTATTGTCTTGTTGCAATGTAACTACAATAAACCGTATAAATTTTATGATTTATTGGCAAATAAAACATGTTTTATAAATCATGTACTTTCTCGGTATCGCAATCTCAAGTAAACTCTACTCCAATATTTCTTTTTTTAAATTTTTTTAAATTAAATGATCAATCGTGTGTCAATTATTATTATCGCGCATTTCATGAAAATCGATTTGCAATCAATCGATTTGCAAAGTCGAAAGTTGGGATCCGGTTAACAAAAGCTCCTTATGTAATAATTGGCTTGCTGGAATAGATAATTAAACGTTCGAAAGTACCAATTAAAAGCAAGTCTCATATCTCTACAGGTTGTTGTGCCCGAAACGGCACGGGGTGTGAGGTGCAGTCGGGAGATATGAATATCTCAGGCCGTCGAAGGAGGGGAGTTGAGAAACGGCTGTTTCCTTTTATCAGTTGTCAAAGAAGTTGTAGATTTAGTACAATTATACCTTTATTAATACAAAGCCAGTCTTATCTAACGTTCTTATTTAGTTGGATTCCTTTTCTGCCCTTGCCTCTATTTCGCGTAGGCTCAGTAATTATTCTAAGTTTTGGCGTACTTAGTTCGGTCCGCAGTTGCACTTGGTTACGTTGCACTTGGTTTTCGACTGTTCGACTGTCCGACTGTCCGACTGTCCGTCGTGCTCTCGCGGTGGTTCATATTTAAACCCTTGTTTTGGGAGGGTTTTTGAGAGGGGACCGCTTAGTAACATGGCCATACGGGGTCATGGTGCGGTCAAGTTAAAATGCAAGTGAAGGTGATTCGATGTCGAAATCCTTCGTTGCACTTCCGTATTTTTTGGCGAATTCGCACGTAGTACGCTGAGACAGCGATTCTATGAAGTGAATATTCGCTATCGCATTTACCAATAATATTTATTGTGAACCGTCGTTTCCAAACTGATCTGTTATTCAAGTTCATTTTTACATTTTTCTTTTATATTATTTCTTTATTAATAAATTTGTTATATTTCTTTGATAAAATCGCGTAATTTATTTGAGTGTTAGTTTCTCGTGGTTGTCGATACCCGTTTTGTGTCTGTCGCATTTTGAATTAGTGAAGTCTCGTATAATCAATTGACTTTTTCCTAAAACCCCTCCCCTCTACCGTTAGGCGAGCTAGTCGGCCCGTGGCGAAGCAGGTTATTATTTTTCGCGTTCTTTGGGGTTTCGTGGAAAAACTGATGCGTGAAAGACCGCATCTGGCGCCCAACCTATCAAGATATCGAAACGGCCTCCGCTGCGGCTCGCGCGAGAACGCCCTCTATCCCTGTTCCCCAGAGCGCGAGTACATTAATTTCGTTATTTTTTTTTTGACGGCGTTTCCGCTCCCCCGCGCACGCTTCCGTCCAACACCTCGAGGAGTGTTGCGAATAATTCGAACTGAAAAGAAACGTCGCAAAAATTTGGCTTATGCTGACGCTTACTTTATACTTTAATTATATATATGTACTAATACTTTAATTATATATAGGTTATAGTCTGTGTGACTATAACATCCCTCCCCCATTAAAAAACAAAAACGGAGGTTGAAACGAAGTTTTTCTATAACTTTTTGCGATTTTGAATATAATACAATGTTTTTTCCCGTTTCACAATGTTGATTATAATCGTTTCTTACATCTAGTTTATTATTATACCCTCTTTTGTTTTTAAAACCGTGTGTTTTTATTTCTTTTTAGTATTGATTTAGGCATTCCATATGATTTGTCAATTTCATCGACTAATGTAACAACAGCTGGTCGTTTAGATTTCCTTTTCCTATGTTGGATAACTATCCATACTATTAATGCTATAATGATTAAAATATTATTCCACTAGTAACCGTTGTATAAATGAATTGTTTTTGTTTAAAAAAGTTACTGTCGTTATTGTTCAAGTTATTATTAATTTCTTCTAATTTATTACTTAATCCTTTTAATTCTAGTGGATTATTTATTATTTCTTTAAATTCGTATTCGTGATTAATTTCTGTGATTGTTATATTGAACTCTGGTAAAAATGTTTCTATACTTGTATTATATGTAATTGTTTCTGTCTGTATCGTCATATCTGTAGTTATTAGTTTACAGTTATCGTGTAATGTAATCCGACCTGTGTTTTTGATTATCTTTTTATAGTCAGGATGATCATTACATTTTATCTGTTGCTCGAATGATGTCGAATATAACCAAGAGTGCGGCTGTTGTAATGTGATCCATATTGCGCGGATCGCTTTTTTATAGTCTATATTACATTGATTGCGATAGTTTTGTCCTTGTACATAAATTTTCGCTTCGCACGGTGTATTTTCGTTGACATGGTAGATTGGTTGATTTTTGTCGCATAGATATAAATTATTATTATTTGTACATTCGTTTAAATCTTGTTTTCTTAAAATTAAATAGGTACATATTTCTTTATTTACAGCGATCAACTTATTAGCTACTTCTGTATATATAAAACTATTTTCGTAGTTAGGTGTCGGTAACGGAATTACATTTAAGACGTCAAATATTGGTTATGTAATTAATGGAAATTTTAAAATTGTGTATTTATTTGTTTTCTCGCAGTACGCGCTTACTTTCATGTAATTTTCGATCGTTAGCCATTCGTCAATTTTTATTTGAGAAGGAAAATATGCTCTTTGTGATAACTGTAGTACTGCTTCTTTTAGATGTAGAATAATTTCATTTATCGGAGTTAACAAAGGATGTATTGTGCCCTTACGTACATGTGTAAGATATTCTAAAATATCTTTTGCATCTCTAATTAAATCGTTTATCATTGCTATGATTATGGTGAAATGTTTGTCTATCTCCTCGCGCGTAGTGTATTCCCTAATGTAGTGGTTCATTAATTTACTGTTATAATCCAATATGTTTTCTAATTTACTTAAATGAACTATAGTGGTGTTCAAGACTTTGATTTGATTTTTCGCAGCGTGTTCCAATATTTGCTGGTTATTCTGTAATAACTGTATCATCTATTCTGTAATATCTGTTCATCTATTAATTTCCTATCGTTCGCATCCATAATTTCGAATAAAGTTTTCGTTATTGAACCTATTCCATCGATAAGGCTTCTACGTTTATTTGTTTGAGTCTTATATAAGGTATTTATTAATGTTATTATTTTAGATATTATTTAAGATATTAGCATCATTGTTAACTATTTTTTTAAGATTGTCGCAAGTTCGTTGGGTGCTTTTTTCGAAATTTGACTCGGTGCACATTTTGCTTGTTTGTTCGATATATTGGTTTACCTGCCATGTTCTATCGTTTAGTTCTGTTACATCTAATTTAATTACTAGCTTCCACATCTGGTTGGTTTGATGCAGGCGTCCAATTTTTTCATAATATATTCCTGGTGTATTATCAAATTCCGCCACTTCGAACGAAAGAACCGTTTCATCTTGTTCTGCGGGGACGGAGTAGGTGCTTAGTGTTACTCTGTAATAATATTGGTGAGTTTTTATTCATTCTTTAATTTTCTATAAATAGTTTAATTTATTTATATATTTTAATTTATTTATATGCATGCGCACGGTTTTTCTTCTCCTTTTTACTGTGTAATTTACGTTTGAATTTTTGTCTAGGATCGTATATGGCCCTGTCCGTAATGATTCTAGTTTCTTTGATCTCCCTCGTCGTAGAGTTTCATCATAGATCAATACTTTGTCACCTATTCTAAAATGTGCTTCTTTTGTACTTCTATCGTACTGTTTCTTTGATTTTAATTTTTCTTCTTTTAAATGTTCTTTCGCGAGCTGATTGGTCGCTCGTAGACGCTCTTTCAATTTCTGTGCATAATCATTGTAATTATATGTTGGTTTGGGCGGTTTCGTCAATGCGGTAATTATTAATAAATTGGTATCTCGACTTGGTGCCCATAAACTAATTCGAAGAGGGTAAATCCCGTGGCGGTATGTGGTGTTGAAATGTACATAAACATCGCAAAGGGTATCCATTCGTCCTAGTCCATTTGATCTTCGTTTATGTAGTGGCGTAAATATTCAGCCAATGTTCGATGAGATCTTTCTAACGCGCCGTTGTTTTCCGGATGATATGCGGTTGTCTGGATTTTATTTATTTTTAATAGCTTACAGGTATTTTTAAAGATTTTGCTCATGAAATTCATTCCTTGATCCGTCAGGATTTTTTCCGGTATTCCGTGCTCAAGAATTATTTTTGTAACAAATTCCTTGCTAACGGTATTTGTTTCCTGATTCCGTATCGGTATTGCTTTACTGAATTTTGTTAGATTATCCTGGAAAGTCAACAAGTATTTATTTCCATTGGTGGTAATGATTAGTGGTTCGACAATATCTAAGGCGCATTTCTCGAACGGTTTGTTAGGCGTGTCCGTGATTATTAACTTATCTCCTTGAAATTTAGTGTATGTAGGATGTGCAGGTATAACTTTCCTTCCTTGATTCTGTATTCCGGTCTGGAGGCTGGATCCTGTTTTACTTCTTCCTGCACTCGGTCGTACCAGCGGCACTTCTTCCGTTCGATAGCGCAGACTTCCGGGTATCGTGACAGCGCATCTGCCACGCGGTTTTGAACCCCTCGACGGTATCTAATGTCGAATTCGTATTGTTGCAACTCGAATATCCAGCGTCCGAGTCGTCCAGTCGGAGATTCTAGTTTTTGAAGCCATTTTTTTTTAAGACCTGGTGATCGGTTATGACGGTGAAGGCATAGCCTTCCAGATAACTTTTCATCCGCCGGATTCCCCAGACGATCGCTAGACATTCGAGTTCGGTCGCGGAGTAATTTCGTTCTACCGCGTTTAAAGTTCGACTCGCATATGCAATAACTCTTTCTCCGTCCTCGTGTTGTTGCGTGAGGACTGCACCGAGACCGGAAGTGCTTGCGTCTGTCTGCAAGAAAAAACGCTTCGTAAAGTCTGGGCAGGCCAGGACTGGAGCGGAGACCAGTTTTGTTTTTAACGTGCCGAACGCCTCTGCCTGTTCGGTTCCCCATGTCCAGCGTGCGTTTTTCTTAGTTAGGCGTGTAAGCGGTACAGCTATTTCGGAAAAATTCGCAATGAATCGCCGATACCACGAGGCCATTCCGATAAATTGCCGAATTTGCTTGATCGTTCGCGGTTCCGGCCAGTCGGCTACTGCGCTAACCTTTTCGGGGTCTGTACGGATTCCTTCCTTGTCTATAATGTGCCCGAAATATTTTAGCTTATCTACGCAAAATTTGCACTTATCAGGGTTCAGCCGTAACGATGCGCTTTAGGGGGTGCACAGGGTGCATCGTTACATTCTTCTATCTTTAGAATTTCTTCATCCTTTTCCAGGGATGGTTCCGGTATCGCGTTGCGACTTAAGGCGTCGGCATTTGCGTTTGCTCATCCGGCCTTGTGTATGATTTCGTAATCATATTCTTCGAGTTTTAATCTCCATCGGATTAATCTCGATCCGGAGTCGTTTACATTGAACAAGCATATTAAAGGTTTATGGTCTGTGATAATCTAAAATTTTGTTCCATATATGTTGTGACGTGACGCTTTTTTTTTAGCTCCGTCACGGTTGCCCTGTCGAGGGGAAATAGCATGCGCGGGGTCGTCTCTCGCGCCTGAAAGGGAACCAAAATTAATTATAATCCGATCATTTAGATTTATGTTAGCTTGAATGTAAGATCCGTGAATAGGGTGCGGCTACTGTGCGCGCGTACAATTGGCGATACCGTCAATTGTATATGAAGGTCCAGCGAGATACCGAGAGGGGAGGAAGCCATATAGGAAGATACCGAAGATGCCGCAGGAAAAAAAGGTCATGTAATGAGATCCCGCGCCGCAGCTAGTCATAATTCTGCAAAATATTAAAACCGAATAATTTCAGATTAGAGAACGGCGGAAAATCCGGACGACGGAACTGAAAACAACCTCCCAGGCGGCCGACTGGGAAATGAAGAGGATTCTGAAAAAGACGAGGATACGACCTGGCCAGCCGGTCCCGTCTACAAGGATCAGAACTACCGTCAGATACCGTCGCACGTGGATCCTGGGCCCCTGCGCAAGGGCAACGCCGTCCTACAGCTGTGACTCTGAAGGGGGCGGAGAATCAACCCCCCGATTTCCCTGAAAATTGACGGAATTCGCGGAAGATCGGCGCGGGATCCGAGGGCCTCGCGAAAGCAGTTAATATTCTTCACTATTCGGTGAGCGTGAGTCGAGGAACCCCGTTCCGAGAATCCCGAGGAAACGATCCAGCAAGAAACCGCCGACATCGACTCTTGTAAGCCGCCGCACAGGTAGCATATTTATTTTCGTTCGGGATCAGCTGGCGTCACCGTTTCGAGATACCGTCGCAGGGCGACGACCATACCGTAGAGATTACTGCGTAAAGTCTTTGCACTTGTACCGTTAATTACAGGACGCCAGCTGTCCCCGGGTGTCGTAGATTTGTCCCTCTCAGGGGGATTCGTATCGACAGTCACGTGCCGTACAGTCAAATACCGTTTCGTATCGTCAAATATTGTATCGTGTCGTTTAATATCATTTATGTTACCGTTACATTCTGGGCCAAAATTCAAGTCCTAGCGTGACGTGGCAATTTTGGCCGTTTAGTATCGCGTACCGAAAAGCGGGATTTGCGCGGAAAACTTCTTCGCAGGCACGGGTTACCGTAACTTAGAAAAACGGCTCCGCAAGAATATTATTCAATGCGAAATCTGCGCCGAAATATATATTACCGTTATCATCTATTTGAAGATTCTATTGTTCGAATATCGAGTCGTTATTGCCGAGTATAAAAGGTCGCAATAAGACCGTTGAATAAAGTAAACCATTTCCGCATAAACATCCTTGGAGCTACCGTTAAGCATAGCCTTTGTCTTCTGTCAAATATGTATTGTGCAATATCATCGCCGATTACCGTATGGGAAATTCGATTTGATTCATATCGAAATTTTATAAGATCCGTCTGCCGGCAAATCTATACTAAAATTATATTCATTTGTTATCTATTAGTCGTCATCAGCCATTATTAATTACCTGCTTTATAAGTTACCGTTAAAAAGCACATATAGTTTGATTCGATTTATATCGAAATTGTACACGAGGCTAGTGTCTCCGAGTCTGTTCTGAAATCATACGGGTCTACTGTATTCTGATCGTAATTCGGATCTCACAATTGATTGCCGCTGGTTACCGCTGATTATTGTGTAGAACATAATTTAATTTATATCGAAATCTCTTAGCGAGGCTCATGCCTCGGAGCGTGTTCTGAAATCTGGCGTAATATTGTCTATCGAATGTTTAAGATTAACTCGCCGTAAATTATTAAGTGATTCTCCTTACCGTGATCTGAAAAATATTCAAAATACGCGCCTCTCCTTGTGTTCCTATCCCTACAACTCTCTTACGCTAGTTGTAAGTATTGCGTTAATCTCGATATTATCATTCTCTCTTATACACGTAGTCTTCGCGCTATCGTTCTCTCTCTCGCACGCGTTGTCTTCGCGCTGTCGTTCTCTCTTTCGCGCGCGCTAATTGCAAGTCTCGCGATATTATCGTTGTCTCTCTCGCACGCGTTGTTTTGCGCTATCGTTTTCTCTCTTTCATATACTCGTTGCTCACTTACCTTTACGTCGTCCTTTTCCCACCTATGCGTCATCCTTGTCCCACGATGATGACATCCTCGTAGCATTATCCTTTCCCACACGTAGCGCTGTTCTTCTCACACCACCGTCTTCTTTCCGCGGATCCCCCTTCACCGCGCGGACCCCCTCGTCCATCGCTCGCGCCGCTGATCCCCTTCACTGCGCGGACCCCCTCGTCCATCGCTCGTGCCGCGGATCCTCCTTCACTGCGCGGATCCCCTTGTCCATCGGTCGCGCCGCGGATCCCCCTTCACAGCGCGGACCCCCTCGTCCATCGCTTGAGCCGCGGATCCCCCTTCCCCGCGGGTGACGTCACCCACCGCACGCCGCGGTTCCCCTCGCGCCTCACCCCTCCTGAAAGGACCTGAGTTAGAACTCTCCTTGTATACCTACTCCCAAATATCTCAAAAACTGAGCGCGGCTGACAAAAAATGTTTCAGACAAAAGTTGTATGATTTCGAAGGGGACATAAGATGGTGCCATTAGTTTGATCTTGAAGAATCACTTGAAGGTCACATGAAGGTCACCTCCAATTTTTTAAATGGGATACCCTATATACTTTTACATATTCTTGTAAGTTATCTCGAGAGCTTTCCAAAACACTATAATTAAATTAGTTTTCATGAAGTACTTTCCAAATTATGAGGCTTGAAATCATTTTTTTAATTTTACATGAACCATAAAATATCTTGTAAAATATTGATTTTTCGATTATTTTACCATAATACTTTTATGTACAAAATAATGAGAGAAATCAATTGATGTAAAGAAAACACATAATTGTTTCGAAAAAAAATGTAATTTGTAATTAACAATTACATTTCTTTTCTTAAAAACTATGTGTTCTTAATAACTATGTGTTTTCTTTACACCAGAGCTGTCCACGTTTTGCACATTTCGGCCGATTTCTGTGAGTCAACGTTTATCGCCTCGCACTTACGTCTCGAGATCTTAACAACGAGCTAGCTAACAACCGTAATTAAGAAGCGCGACACTTTACTTCAGGTACGGCTCATCTATAACGATGTTGTTCCCTACGTTCTATCTATCAAATATTATACTTTAAAAAAATACGCGAGTTTTTTAAAATCTTTTTAGATAATTAATTCAAAATGTATAACAATGTTTCAATTCCCAATTATTAATTACATTAATAATAAAATATTAACATTTGACAGACGGGATAGAGAACGGTATCGCGTTATAAATGCGCCGTATCTGAAATGTTTTGATTACGGTTGTTAGCTGGTTTGTTGTCAAGAACTCGAGACGTAAGGGGGGCGATAAGTGTTGACTCACGGAAATCGTCCGAAATGTATAAAACATGGACAGCTCTGCTTTACACCAATTGATTCCTCTCATTATTTTGTACATAAAAGTATTAAGGTAAGACAATAAAAAAATGAATATTTTATTAGATATTTTACGGTTTATGTAAAATTAAGATATTATTTTAAGTCTCATAACTCGAAAAGTACTCAATGAAAAAATACTTTATTATAATGTTTTGGAAAGCTCTTGAGGCAAGCTACAGGAATATGCAAAAGCATATAGGGTATCCCATTTAAAAAGTTCGAGGTGACCTTTACGTGACCATCAGGTGACTCTTCAAGGTCAAAATATATATATATTTATATGTATGTATATGTACATGTATGTATATATGTATGTATGTATATGTTTATATGTATATATATGTATGTATATATGTATATATGTATGTATATATAATTTGAAATTAATAAAAATTATTTTTTATTTAGTCTATATTAGAAAAGTGAAAAATATGTTTCCTTAACTACTATATTTTAAAAACGTTTTTATAAAAACGTTTCTTATTAATGTTTTACGATTAAAAAATATTGGCTACGTTTAGGAAACGTATATAAAACGAATGTGTGCTATCTTGGGCATCATAGCATATCTTAAAGTTATTTATTGACGACAGCCATATGTCATAAAACGTTTCGTCATCTATTGGCAATTAATAATTAAAGGTTAACTGTCTATTTGATATCAATGCTGGCTTATTGCAATGCAGCGGAAATTAAATCAAACTTCAAATTTTGAAAATATTATAGTTCTAAGAAATGATGTAGAAGAAATGATATATCGAATCCAATAAATATTATTGTGATATATATTATCTAACTGATATAAATAACTTATTGATAGTTAACGAAGAAAAAATTGTAGATGAATATGCATGTATTAATACTTGAATGTTTGTTTTCTTACGATATTTATTAGATATTCAACATGTGTATTTTTATATTTTATACATTATATAAGATCTGCACACTTTCATAAACGTTAACACACAATTGTAATTTTCTTTTTAAGCTTTTTTTATATTATGTTTTGGAGCTTTTTCTTATTTCAAACTGTACATATAAATCTTTATACGAGTACATACATATATCATTGCTGTGGAGGGAATAAATTTTTATAAATTTATAAAATATTTTAAAATACGTTTATTATTATGCATGAATTTAAAAAGAGATCATTATAAAAATACTTGTTTAATTATTCTTAGTTATTCTTAACAAACAGTATTATTCTTAATTATTCTTAACAGAATGTTTCTTTAATAATATCAAAATATTTTTGAAAATAAAAATGTTGTATATCATTTAATATATGAATGCACCGAATAAGTCACAAAAGGAGACCAGAACATTACAAAATTATTTTCAATTATATTTTACGTAATTTAAGTATTTATCACTTTTTTGGAAAAAGTAATTGATTTATAGCAGGAGAAAAAAAATTTGATTGAATGCACTAATGCACACTACATATAAAAATTGTCGTATATAAATTACAATAGTATAATTAAAATAATAAAGTAATTAATATTATAAGTTTTTTTGTATTATATTATATTATATATTATATTATATTATGTTAAGTTAATATTAAGTAAAGTTATATTATATACGTTATTATATTATAAGGTCATTCAATGCAAATAACAATAAAAATAACTGATACAATTATTTTAGTTATTTATGCTATTGGAAATTTATAATTATTTATACTAGAACTACTTTATACTAAAAACGCTACGTATTGATTCAAACTGCATTATATGAATATCACAGAAAACATATAAATCACTTTTTAAATCCATTATTACTTTTTTTATAATCAGAATATCTTTTTATAGTAAACGTTTATAGTAAACGTGCCTCTTAGACGTGCCAAAGAGAAGATACTCAGAAATAAATTAATATAAAATGTTTATAATAAAATCCATTAAACAATTATATATACATATAATTATTTTTATTTATACATAGAATATTTATACATATTTTTGTTTTTTATACATATTTTATACATATATAATTTTATACATATATAACTTTTTTGTCAAACAATTTTTAAAGATTTTAATTCTTTTTGAAATAACGCAAGTATCACTGTGGAGAAAAATAAATTCTAAACGGGATGCAGCTAATAGGACATCATGGCAACACATGATCAGATTGAGCATTCGAAGTCAGTTACTATTGCGATCGCTAGCCAAACACACTACCGCGTTTCTTATCGTTTGATTCAAACTGCATATGAATATCATATGAATATCACAAAAAATTGTGTACAAATAGCGGATTTTGAAAAGCATACGTAGTAACACAATTGTGTGTAGTAACACAATTGTACAAACCAATTGTCGTAATCACATATTTAATAAAACTAAAGATATAGTAAATATTTAAGTGAATTCGATTACATTCTGCGTGTGCTTGAATATCACTGAAAATGTTACAAAATCTATAATTCTATAACTTCTGTGATTGTTTGTAATTTGATTATCCTTTTATCGACGTTTTTCTACTATAATATTAATGAAAAAAGAAAGCTGATAATAATTATATTCCTGTATTCGCGATATAATCCAATGAATATGTATCATTTTGCATTGTTTCATTTGTTCTCCTGAAAAATAGAAATTATTTACTTACTAAGAATTCCATAATTTAATCTAAAATATATACTGTGATCGTGACAATAAAGAGAAATCTATAAACGTAATATTAAAAGATAATAACTTGCGATTCGTTAAAACTGACTTTTAAGGAATTTGTTGAAAATATATGTATATATATGAATTAATATCAATTCGATTAACACATCAGAATTTGTTGAGTGAGAAAAACAACTAACTGACGATTCAACGGAAACCGATTGAGTGCAAACGTTTACGAAAAATGCAAATTATGTTTGGAACAATTTTATGTGTTTTATTGAAAGGTTTAGTACTGACAAAGGCAACTATCACGCCAAAGAATTATATCACTTCAAACAGCCTTCAGAAAAAAAGTATTTCCATTTATCCGGATTTAAATTTCACGCAGGTAAGAGATATTTTACGTTTGATTAAAAAACAATTGAATGTTATTGCAGTTAGTGGTGTAACTAAAAATGAATGATAATAAATTATATATTCTACCTATAATAGGATAAGATAAAACATAAAGCAATTCAATATGAAAGTAAAAAGTATGTACGATGTTGTAAAAATAAGAAGGATTAAGTTTCGAAATTTTGTTTATAAATGAATGTTATACAGTATATTACATTTAATTAAAACGGTATTTTATAATTTGACTATATTATTTTGTCTCACTCTCTCTTTATACATATATAATTATTTCTATTAATTTTAAAAATAACAAATAATTTTAAAAATAACAATTTTTAAAATTAATGAATTTTTCTGTTCTTCTATTATATTTATCTGCTACATTAATATATACATACGATGGCACTTCAACAGATTTTTATGTTATTTTTCTTCAATTTTTAAAATTTCTTTATTTTTCTAAATATTTATAATAATATTTATTGATATATAGTAAGTTTTATATTAATGTAGATTTTATTTTATGAAATTAATTTAGAAAGTTAGTATCATTCCTTTGTGTTAAGGATAATTATATAACGGACTAGAGCTACAAAATATCTAGAAAAATCTGTTTAATAAAAAAATCATTCATCAAACATTCTTCAAAATTGTATCTATTAACGCTAATATTTCGATCGACAATATATTCAATAATTATCGCTAGAATTTATATTAATTTTCATTGTACATATATCCATTTATATACAATTATATCCACATATTTTTATTGAGGGATTATTGGTTTATACTATCATTTCCAGGAAACAATATTTTTAACCTTTTTATTCTTGAAGTACAAACATTAATAAAACTTTAGTAATATCAGTAAATTTTTGAAAAGAAATATAAGTTATGGTAAAATTGAGAGGAGTTAACTAACCTATCGTGAGAAAAAATCAAATCGTTAGACAAAATTGTAATATTTTAATAATTGCAAAGGCTACACTTTCGCTTGTACTACTTGCTAAAAGTTGTTATGAATCCTTATTGATTCTCGTTAACCTATTGATTAATTTTCTTTTTGACATGAGTTATGTTCAATATACAAGATGTCTTAAAAAAGATAAATAAATTGATTTTACGATATGAATAAAACTATATTATATTAAACTTATATCATTTAGGAATGGTGTATATCAAACCGGTATTATTAGCAACCTAAGCAAACAAAAAATGAATGGCAATTTTTCGTTTAATTTTATATAATAATTTATATAATTTAGCATTAAAAGCACCAGAAACAACCACTTCAATGATACTCAATTAATTCTTTTCGTATGTTATATTTTATGAAGGATATTTCAATATCCGAGAAAAATGATGATCATATACTAAATTTCAAATCTGACCAGAGTCATTCTGATAGTACTGTGAGAAATGAGCGAGAAGTCGATGAAGTTACACTTGCAAACATTTCTATCATTCCAGAATCTATCGGTAAGTTGCAAAAAATGCATAAAACATTAATAACAAAATCTATGATGCAAAAATGTAAATATAATTTAAATTCAAGAGAGAGTTGAAATCAAATCTAAAAATACCTTCCAATAGTGAGAAGAATATAAATTCTAATTCCGTTCAAAAAAGAAATAGAAAAGCATAATACAAACATAACATTGTACATAAAAATTGTCATAATTTAAGGTAAAGTTAATTTTATTAATTTGTTACTCTGTTTTAAAGCAGTCGCAAATATTATACTTCTTCTGATTTCTTAAGTTATAGGAAATTTCCGAAAAGTACTTGTCACTTTATTAAAAGTTATTTATTCGTTTTTGCCATGAATTAACAATTACTTTTCTAAATCTTAAATGACGCAAAAAATTCTTACATTATTTTTTTAAAGATCAATATTGTGCTAATTTCCATATTCTGTAGTTTATATTTATTTTTTCTCTTTCCTTTATTTTCACATTAAATTCTTCTTTCTGATTTACTCAGATAATCCATTTAATCTTATATATAACTATATTAATATGTACGATCTCAAAATCTCTAGAAAACAGATTTAACAAGCCAACATCTCTCAGAGCATTTGTACAATTCGACAGTCAATTCGCAGAAAAAGTAAACGACATTTTTGTGACATTGAGGTAACAAATCTAAATTCTCAGTTTGTATTCTTTCATTTTTCTCTCTTTTTCTTAAATCCAACTACATAAATATATCAATATGTTAATTCTGTTACAATTTTCTTAAATATAAGATAGCTAAAATTTAATTTTTTTATAGATGGAACCAACCTGAATTTACCGATGAAATAATACAAGAGTACCAAGTGCAATGTTCTATCTTCGAAGACTTTAAAGAAACTTGCAACGATAAAAATATCACAACTACAAAATTGGAGCACACGGTGCACAATCTAACATCTAACACGACATATTATTTTCGAGTACGTGCGCATACTAAAATTGTTGCTGATCCTTACACGGATTTAATCAATGTGTCGACTACACATGAAAATCCAATACCTAAATTATTATTCACAACGAATCGAGGTATTGAAATATTGGACGTGGATTTAAACGTTACTAATTTCATAACATCAGAGTACGTATACTCATAAAATAAATAGTTATAATTATTATAAATTATGTTCAACACTAATTATTATAAATTATGTTCAACACTATAAAGTTAAAGTTATTATTATTATGCACAAGTTTATTATTATCAACATTATAGTAGTAATAACTATAAAATTAGAAATCTCAACTATAATTTTTTACTATACAATTATAGTTGGCTCTATTTTTCAGAAAAGTAGAATATGCCGCTTATTCGATACAAGAGAATAGAATTTATTGGATTGACAAAAAAAATCTAATGACATTGAAGATTAATGAAAATAATGTCACAAAAATAGCTAGCTTTGATAATGATCTATCTAATCTCTGCATTAACTGGGTAACAAGAAATCTATATTTCGAGATCAAAGATACATGGTCCTCTTATGTTGTAAAATTCGATTTAACAATGTGGGAAAGTGGCATAATTAAATTTGATGAGCTTTTGGAAACAAAAATTAATGACTTTACTTTACGTATATCACCGTCTATGGGGTACGTTTACTACCGCTCACCTAAGAAAATAATTTTTTCTTAAAGATTTATCGAAATTTGTAATTTTTCTATAACTTTACTTATGATCTTATAATTAAGATCATAAGTAAAAAATATAATAAGTTATTATATAATTATAAGAATTTCGAATTTTTACTACATACAAGTTTCTCTTTTTATTAAAATAATGTTTTATAATGAGTAAAATAAATACATATTTTTCAGAATTTTATATGCTCTATTAGACGATAGTACGCATACAGAATCTAATATGATGCAATATGATCTCGATGGAAAAATCAAGCAAATTGCTCGGATAAATAAACCCAATTGCCTATTAAATTATATAAATTCTCTTTATGATTTGATAATTGATAACATGAATAATGAAGAGCCGTTAATTTACTGGTTAGATAGAAATTGCCTAATTGTAACAGACATTAATGTTTCTATGTGCAATGAGATTTTAAACAGCAAACATATAACTGATGACACCTACTTCCGATCTATAACGATTGACAAAACAAACATTTACATTTTAGCAGACAATGAAAATGATGATAAATTGAATTATCTTCCATATATATACGCTTTGAAAAAGAAATATGCAAGTCTCAAGAGTGTAAATGCAGCCGAATATATTGAAAAGATAACAAAAAGCTTATATAAATATATATTTAAAATATACGCTTTTGATAAATCTTTACAACCATATCCTCCAATGAGATGCCTGACACCTGACGAAAAAGTTTACAATTTTGAGAATGTGAATGCAACGGCAAATAGCATCTTTGTGAATCTTCCGGAGCCGGTTGTAAAGAGTGGATGCAAAAAGTATAATTTACCAACTACTATATATACTATCTCTGTAAGCTGTCCATACAACAATCTCAACAAGTCTGAGAAATTCAATGTGCTGCGATATGTGACATACGAGCGATATTACGAGATTCAGAACTTAACACCATTTACGGAGTACAAGTTGAAGTTTACTTTAAGCAATTTTTACTTTGATCAATTATCAATAAATCCATTCGATTCGAATGTGATATCAATAAAAACTAATTCGGGCAAGCTTAATGCACCAGAAAACATAAGTGTGCTAGCTTTGACGCCTACTATAGCAGTAATTCATTGGATGCCACTCAAAAAAGTATACTGCGCGGCCGTGACCTACGAAGTGCATTGGAAGTCAGTTGCATTAGTGAATGGCACGCAACAAGAAGGCAAACAATTTATCAATGTGCCGAAACGTATGGTAGACGGCAGATTTTTCACAAAGATTAACTTGTCGCTATCAGTACAAGATTACTTGATATACGTGCGTGTGTATCCAATTAATTTCAGCGATTTCTACAACGAGAGTTTAAACAAGATCGTTCACATATACTCAGAACCAAACAATATTACTTTAAGCGGGGTCAACATAAATAGCATGAACATTTCATGGATCTCAAATATTAATCTGATGATCCTTTTTATACTAGAGTACAAAGATATTGCAGCAGAAAAGTGGCAAACAATGAATTATTTTGAAATGAATTATAACAATGAAGTAACATACCATGTCGAAAATTTACAATCGGGAACTTTATACAAGTTTCGCTTGATATTGAGATACCTCGAATATGAGGAAAATTTTATATGGCCGGCTGATGAAAGATTTATTTTTTCAACACTTGGTAAGCAAACGAAGATATTTTTACAGTACAATAAGATTGCATGGATATATTGAAGAATAATTTCATTGAAACATTGCAATATTGCAAATCGATTGCGAAATCCTGCTGAGTTATTGTTATAAGATTGTGATGAAGTTAAGTTGTCCGCTTTTTGCAATGAAATATTGTAGCAAGATTATAGTGTAATATAAGAAAAGAGTGCAATGTTATTGCAACCATATTTTTGCTTTTGATGGTTGAATATCTTGAAAACATTTAATTAAATTAAAAAGCTTCATATATGTAAATACAAATTTGCAATATCTATGATAATCATGTCTAAGATAATATATTGCAATATTGTATTTAAACATAATCATATAACATAAAATATTATATTTTTATACAAAATTACTTTGAACTCTTACTTACGAATCACTTTTTAAATGTTCTCTATACTCTTATAATGGGTACTTTATACGCATATATATACAGGGTGTATCAGAGCGACCGTATCAGGCTGGTATTTCGAAAAATACGCATTTACTTGAAAAATGTTCTGAACAAAAGTTGTAGGACTTTAAGGGGTGCATTACATAGCATGGTTAGTGTGACCTTGGATAGTGTTGTTAAGGACACGGAAAAATCAATTAAAAGTTTTTAAATGGAAACCCCTATTTTTGATTGTATATTCTTATAGCTAACCTCAAGAGCTTTCCAAAACACTATAATAAAGTATTTCTTCATTGAGTACTTTTCGAGTTATGAGGCTTGAAATCATTTCTTAATTTTACATAAACCGTAAAATATCTTGTGAAATATTCATTTTTCGATTATCTTACCTTAATAATTTTATGTACAAAATAATGAGAGAAATCAATTGATGTAAAGAAAAAACATAGTTGTTTTTAAGAAAAAAATATGTAATTTGCAATTAACAATTACATATTTTTTTTTAAAACAACTATGTGTTTTTTACACCAATTGATTCCTCTCATTATTTTGTACATAAAAGTATTAAAGTAAGATAATCGAAAAATGAATATTTCACAAGATATTTTACGGTTTATGTAAAATTAAAAAATTAAAAACTTTTAATTGATTTTTCCGTGTCCTTAACAACACTATTCAAGGTCACACTAACCATTCTATGTAATGCGCCCCTTAAAGTCCTACAACTTTTGTTCGGAACATTTTTCAAGTAAATGCGTATTTTTCGAAATACCAGCCTGATACGGTATCTCTGATACACCCTGTACATATTAATTATAGATTTAATTATACTAATTACTAATTATATCTTTATTTAAAATTATTATTATATAGTAATATTACATTATTATATAATAATTATTATTATATCTTTATTTAAAAGTTTAAAAAATCTGTTATAATTATATATATTTGCATGTGAAATATAGTATACATAAAAACGCATAGAAAAATATAATAGATATAATAGTATCTATTCTTCATATAATAAAAAGATATATCTTTGAAAATTAATATCATATTCGTGCATGAAGTGAGAATATATTATAAAATATATTGTAACATTGATTATAAAATGTTATCTATATTTTAATTAAAAAAAAGCAATGCTTATCTTTAGCTTAGAATTATATTTACTCGACTGATATTTTTATGTCATTATTTCATTTGATTTCTGCAAAAAAGTAAAATCCATCGCATATACAGGGTGAGGCATCTAAAACAGGCCACCTGAATAACTCCGTTGGTAAGCCGAATATAAAAAAATTGTTCAGACAAAAGTTGTATGGTTTCAAGGGGGATATATGATAGTGTCATTAGTTTAATCTTGACGAGCCACCCGAAGGTCACGTGAAGGTCAGCTCCAACTTTTTAAATGGGACACCTTATATGCTTTTGCATATTCTTGTAGCTCATCTCAAGAGCTTTCCAAAACACTACAATTATGTTAGTTTTCATTAAATACTTTCCAAGTTATGAGGCTTGAAATCATTTTTTAATTTTACATAAACCGTAAAATATCTTATAAAATATTCATTTTTCGATTATTTTACCTTAATACTTTTATGTACAAAATAATGAGAAGAATCAATTGATGTAAAGAAAACACATAATTGCTTCGAACAAAAAAATGTAATTGTTAATTGGAAATTACATTTTTTTGTTCGAAGCAATTATGTGTTTTCTTTACACCAATTGATTCTTCTCGTCTGAACAATTTTTTTGTATTCGGCTTACCAACGGAGTTATTCAGGTGGCCTGTTTTAGATGCCTCACCCTGTATACATATATATATATATATATATAAATATATTATTACATTATTTTTATAGATAAATTAAAGAGTGTTATAGTTTTAAAATGTTTTAAAAATATAAATATCATATTACTAATGTTTAATTCATACTTTGTTAATTTATATTTCTATAATGTTTCCGTAATGTTGCATTGCAATTTGTGGTATTGCATATTGCTGCAAAGTAGTTAGAACATTCTGTGCTGTATTGATGTTATAATATTATGTGTTAATTTTTTAAAATATGAATAAGCCTATAATTAAAAAAAATTAAATTTTTGTAATAAAATTATAAGTAAAAATAAATTTGTAAAAACATACACACACGAAGATATTAACATTATATTTTTGCTTAATATAGATATTCCGAGACCTCCTGGAATAATAGCCAAAAAATATTACTTATTATTGATATTAAGCTTTATCGTTATAGTTACTATAATCTGCGTCTACAACTTTTATCGTTGTAAGTATATTTGATTTAGGAATCGACTTGAATTATAGATTATACATATATATATCTGATATAATATCTAAAAATTTACTGAAAATAGTAATTTACTTATATAAAACTAAATGAATAAATTTACTAAGAAACAACAGATTTTATAATACATATTATTACATAATTAAGTCGAAATTTTATAACAGTGTATCATCAACGCAGAGGTAATAATGAACAATTTTTGTCTTCAACGATGAACGATATAGAATTGGCGATTCTACATGAAGTACCTTGCCGAAACACTCAATTCAATATGATTTACAGTCCTATGTTACATTATAATCCGGATGAATGTGCGATAACTAAAGTCGCATGTAAACAGATTACATTTACAAAACTTCTTGGTAGCGGCGCATTCGGAAAGGTAAAAATTAATTTTTTCAAAACAATGTTTCAAATTAATTTCTGAATCAACAAAACAGATATGTATTTTCCAATAAAGATATAATATAAATTACATTAATTTTTATAATAGATTATAAGTAATATAAAATTTAGATGAGACAACAAACGTGCACTTTATTATATATTTTTCGTTGAATTAATTAATATAAAGTAAAATATAATATTATTTGATATTAAACTATACATTTTCTAATAAAGTACGTATGTAAATTTGTATGAAATATTTTGCAGGTGTTTCAAGGAAATGTGGAGAACTTAGAAGGATCCGGCATAGAGATATCCGTTGCAATAAAAATGCTTCGAAAAGATGCTTCTTCAAATGAGAAAAAAAAATTTTTAAAGGAAGCCAAGCTTATGAATCATTTTCGACACAAACATATATTAAGATTGTTGGCCATTTGTTTAGATGGAGATTCTCCGTTACTAGTGTTGGAATTGATGGAAACTGGTGATCTGTTAAAATATTTGAGAGATTGTCGAAATTTGCAACCGTCAGATTCGTATGCTCTGCGTTTGCAGGATTTGCTCGCCATGTGCGAAGATGTTGCGCGAGGTTGTTGCTACTTGGAAGAGTTGCGTTTCGTACATAGAGATCTAGCGTGTCGCAATTGTTTAGTATCTTCGAGAAATCGCGAGAATCGTATCATCAAAATTGGAGATTTTGGATTAGCTAGAGATATCTACAAGGATGATTATTATCGCGCGGTAAATACAACTATTAAAGAAAATTAGTGATTAAAAAATAAATTCTTTTGGAAATACTTTTCATTTTCTTATCATAATAGTAAATAGTTCTTATCATAATAATATCATACATTGTTTCTTTAAGTAATATAGAATATAAATCGTTTGTATTTATATAAAGCAAGAGATAAACGAATGTTTTTTTCATTTTACACATATTCTAAAAATGAACAACTTGGACCAAAAAATTAAATTTTTGTTAAAATCTTATTTCAGAAAGGAGAAGGTTTGTTTCCTATTCGCTGGATGGCACCAGAATCTTTGACGATTGGAATATTTACTTCTCAAAGCGATGTTTGGTCATTTGGGGTATTAATATGGGAAATTACATCGTTGGGTGAGCAACCTTATATTGTCAAGACTGATGAAGAAGTGATAAATTATGTTCGTGCTGGAGGCAGGTTGCCGATGTCTCTTAACTGTCCGTCAACGTTGTACCAGTTGATGTTGCGTTGCTGGAGTACAGCGGATGCCAGACCAAATTTCAAACTTTGTCTTAGAAATATTATAGCAATAAGAAAGAACATAGAAGATACCTTACTGAGTCCAGTCGATATTATTTAGCCGATATAATTAAACTAATGTTTATCTTCTTTTCCGAACGATTTAATAAATCTTAATGTAGGAAAAATATTTCTAGAATATTTCTAAATTGATTTTGTTATTTAATATTAATATTAAATTTATGAATAAACATAAAAAACATTTTTTAATCTTACCTTCCGAAAATTTTAATTATTAAAAAATATCACACCATTTTTTATGGTTGTAAACAGCTGATATATTGATACTAATTTGTATTTTTGAGTATTTGTGTTTAAGTAATCGAAGCGAAATCTAATGGTTGCGATTATATTTGTTTGCAAAATTTAATTACCTTTCGAGTTATGTGAAATAATTTAATATTAAATTTTTGAATGTGAAATAATTTCTTAATTCTATATAAAAATTCTATATAAATTCTTAATTCTATATAAAAATTCTACACAGGGTGGCAGGGAATTTTTCATCTTAACGAAGTAAGGAGGTAGATTGGTTTAAATTAAGAAGGAAGAACTTTTATTGTTTTGTGATTGTCGCAATAATTAACGAAAAATTAAATAAAGAAGATCGGCCAATGCGCGTGACTAGAAGCACACGACGGCGAAGGCGGTCTGACTGTAATATAATGGCGGCGCGCGGCAAAGCGGTGATTGAGGAGGGGAGGTGCCTTCGCCACGCGCTTACATACTCATCGCTCCTCTCCTTCCCACACACACACGTCCACGACTTCTGCTTCCTCTTGCCTTTTAAAATTATCATTTTTCTCTGTCGTCCCTCCCCCTATTCTCTCTCTCTCACTCTCATTCTCTCTCACTCTCACTCTCTCTTCCTCTGCCTCCCTTACTCCTCTCATTCCACTGTCTCCTCTTACTTTTTTTTCTTTCTCATACACCATTCTCCCTCCCCTTCTTCCCCCAGAATCCACCCCACCTCTTCTTGCCAACTTTCCCCCCCATCCACACTCTACACCCCTCCCACACGTGTTCCCATCTTTCCATCTGCCTCTCACATAACCTACAAATCCTTTTGCCTTCTTCCTCCCAATATTTACCTTCTCTTATCTTATTCCCTAATCTAAACCTTAACACCCTCCTCCACCTGCTCTTCCCCCATCCCTTCTTTAGATATTCTGGTATTCCTTCCAGTTTTCTAACTTTGTATTATCTATTAAATCTTGATTCTCTTATTCTTCTCTCTCTCTCCAACCTTTGCTCCTTTCTATCCCTCCTGATCAGCTCTCCAAACCACCCATCTCCTTCCTCTCCATCTCCCTAATCTCCCATCCCCTGTCTTCAAAGAACCTCCTTTTCTCCTCCTCCCACTCCGATTCTGTCTTTCCCTCCTTTGCCCCTTCTCTCATTTCTTTCCAGCATAGTCTCGTTAACTCACTACCCTTCCCTTCCCCCAACCTTTCCTTAAAGCCCCACGCTCTCCTTCCCGTTCTGTCCCTTAACTTTCCCCTCTTAATTTTTTCTCTTACCATAGAAGTTCCCCGTTCTTTTCTTTAATCCCAGTACCCATTTCATGTATCTTTCCTCCAATCTTTCTATTCCTTCCCTTTCTTTCTATCCCCATATCTCTACTCCATAGCTCAGTACCGTCCATATTAGCTTATCGAATATTACCTAATCATAGTCTTCTACATCAGTCCTTATCAAATTTTCTCTTTCCTATTCTCCATACCTTATTCCCCATTACTGCTGCCGCTCTCTTAATCCTTTTCATAATGTGCGCTTCCTGTCCTCCATTCCTTTGTAGCGTATAACCTAGGTACCTAAATTTCTTTCTCTTTCAACCTTTTTCCTCTCTATTCTCCATTCTTTTTTCTTCATTCTATCTTCTTCCTTTTTAAATCTCATTATCTTTGTCTTATCTATATTCAACTCTAAACCTCTCCTCTCTATGTATTCCAGCAACCTATCAATCATGCTCCTCATTTCATCTTCTTCCTCTGCCAATAGTACTACATCGTCTGCATATGTCAATGTATATATCCTCTCCCCCACCAACTTTATCCCACCACACTTCACCTTTCTTATTTTCTCCTCCGATATCATTATATTGAATAACATCGGACTCATTGGATATCCCTGTCTTACCCCCCTTGCCGTCCAAAAACTCCCCCCTGTTTCTCCTCCTGTTCTCACCTTACTCTTCGTCTCCCTTAATACTTCTTTCACTCTTTCTATTAAACCTTCTCTTATCCCTCTTCTCCTCATTGTCTCACATAGTACCTCTCTGTTTATCATATCGAACACCACCTTCAAGTTCACAAAAAGTGCCACCAATTCCCCCTTCCCTAGTTGCCTACCTATTAAATAGTTCATAACATAAATATTGTCCATTGTCCCCATATCCTTCCTGTCTGATTCCGCGGAATCACCCCCTTTTCTTCGCACTCCTTCTTTATTCTTTCCGCTAACCCCATCATATATACCTTATATATACCTTATATAATACCGCCATTAACGTTACCCCTCTATATTCTTCCACTATCTTTCCCTCTCCTTTCTTTATAATTGGGACTATCACCCCCTCTTTCCATCCCTCCGGCCACCCCTCTCCCTTCCATACCCTATTGCAAAAGTGCCATTCCCAATCTATCACATCCTCTCCTCTATACTTCAATACCTTTCTCGGTATTCCATCGCACCCGGCAGCCTTCCCATTCTTTAAACTTCTCGACCGTCTCCCTTATTTCCTCTCTGCTTAATTCCCCCTCCCCATCCTCACAACTCCTGTTCCCATTTCCTCCCACCACTCTGTGATCTACCCCCCCTCCCCAGTAATCTCATAAAATAATCTCTACATTCCTTTTCCTCTATATTCTCATTCTATACTCTCTTCCTCTTTCTCCTACCTCTATTTACAATCTCCCAAACGTCCCTCTCACTTCTTACCTCCTCTGCCTCTTTTTCCCATCTATCTTTTTCCTCTCTTTTCTTCCGCTCACACAACTCCCTATATTCTTTTTTCTTTTCCTTATACCTTTCTTTATCTTCTCCGTCCTTTCTCCATCTTCTCAGTTCCTCTCTTACCTCTCTCTTCTTATCCTCGCATTCTTCATCCCCTCACCCCCTTCTAATTATTTTTCCTTTTCTCTGTTCCTCCTTTCCACTCTCCCTTCTATCCAAATCTCCACGGGTGATGATCTGAGTCTATTTTATCTCCTATACTCATTCTCTTGATTCACCACTCTCACCTCCTCATCTCCTATCATAGTTCATTACTGTACAACCTTTGCCCCCCATAAATGTGTATTCCTCTTCCTCATCTCCACTCATATTTCCATTAATAATGTTCCATCCTTTTTCTTCTACCAATTCCACTAACTTCTTCCCGTCTCTATTTATCTTATCATCCTTCGAATTTCTTCCTTTCTCACTTCCCGATCCTCCCTCCTCTTCTTCCCTTACCGCTCCTTCCTCCCTTCCTGTTCTCGCGTTAAAATCTCTACGTATCATTATTCTACACTTCCTTTTCTTCCATATCCTTTAGTACCTCCTCCACATTCCCCTCCACATATACTCCTATTATCCTTCACCTTTCCCTCCCCACTCTCATTCTTTCTTCCATTAATCTCTCCCTTCCTGATTTTATCTCCTGTCTTTTCTCTATTAATTCCTTTCTTATCCCCATAGTTATTCCTCCCATTGCCCTCCCGTTCCTACCTCTCTTTTTTGCTAATTGCTTCCCCCATTTGTATCTTTTCAGCAGATTACCTTTTATCATTTCCCATCCTTTCTTCTCCACCCACGTCTCTGACAACACGATCCCATTTCTCCAATCTCTTCCAAAAATTCCTATTCCCTTATTTCTCAACCCTCCTACATTCCAAAACGTCACCCTCCATTCATCCTTACCTATCTCTTTTCTCCCCGCCCCTCAATTTTCCGATTACTCTCTTCCCCACTTATCTTTCTTCCCCTTGTATTTCTCCTCTTATCCTTCCTTTTTCATCCCTCAGCACCTCTTCCTCCTCATCCCACCTCCGTCACCGATTCTCCTATCCTTATTCTCCTTCTTCTCATATAAACTCTTCTTCCCTTCGCTTCTTCTACTCCCGCTATCTCCCTTAGCTTCCATCTAACCCTCCTCTCTTTTTATGACAGATCCTCCGAATTTCTCTCCCTTTTATCTCTTAACTTCTTCTTTTTCTCCATCACCTCCCATTTTTGTTCCTCATTTCCTAGCCTAACTAATAACATCTCCCTTCCTTTTTCTTTAATCTCTCCTATCCTTTTATCTCCTCTACCACCACTTTCCCCCCCACTCCTAATATCTCCTCCACTACCTTCTTTCTATCTCCCTCTCTTACTTCCACATTTCTTACTACGTTCCTCTTCTGCTCCTTTTCTCTAATATCTAACCTCCTTTCCAACTACCTTATCTATTATGTTGTTCCCTCCTATCTCGCTTTGCATCCTCTCTTTATTAAAGCTATCCTCCTCCCTTTTTTTCCTTTTCCAGATTTTCTACTCTCTTCTTCATCTCCTCTGTATTCCTCTTCAACTCCTCCTTTTCTTCCTTCCATTCCCTCCGTTGCTCTTTAAACTCCTTCCACATTTCCTCCATTTTCTCGTTTAGCACTCTCTCTTGCTCCTTAAATTCCTTTTTTACTTCCTCCTTCTTACTTCCTCTCTCCGCTCTTTTCGCCACTTTCTCAAAGCCATTCTTCATTTTATTCATTCACTCTTCCCTCTCACTCTTCTCAATCCCCTTCACCGGCGATCTCTCTATTATTTTACTTTTTTTAAAAATCTCCTCCTCTCCTTCTCCACTCCTCTCCAAATTCTCTCTCTTCCACAGCTCCTCCAAGCACCCTATACTCCCCCTCTCTCTTTCTCTCCTTCCTTCCTCCATTTCCTCCCACTCTCTCTTTTCTCCCAGTCTCCATTTAAATCGCGCGCGCTTCTCTCTACCTCTACTGTATACTCTATGTCTATCCTGTGCCTCGTTGTTTCCTACCTACTCACTGTATATGTTCAATGTCTACCACCCACCTTTCCATATTCCTATCTATTATCCGTCTACTCTATACCTTTCCTC